AGATGGACCGGGGAGAGGCTAGCAAGGAGGACAGAGAGAGAAGAATGTAGAAGAACACAGGAGCAAGAATGTGGAGAGAGAGAGCCCAGGCTGCTAGATGGAGCAGAGAGATGAGCGGGAGAGACAGAAGAAGACGGGAATGAGAGGCAATGGAGACTAGAATGGGAGGCTCAGAGACTGGGGCAGGCACATGGGGAGAATGGAATAAACGGCATCTGATCAATCAACCGGCTTGACTCTCGTTTTGTCCACCGTCTGCCCCATGTCCCGGGCTGCCCCGGCTGAACGAGCGGCCTGGAGCCCTCCCCAAACCCTGGCGGCTAGGGGAAGAGCCGTTGGGGCTTCTCCCTGGCCGCCCCTTAAAGAATTTGTACAGGGGGGTATGTGCAGGAGGATGTGGAGGAAATGTGTAGTATATATGTGTGCATGGGTGTAGTATTGTGGAGTAGAGTGTGGTGAATGTGCAGATGTGAGGGAAACGTGTAGTAAAAGTGTGTGTGTCAAATGAGTGGTATGTAGAGTGTGCGTCAACTATGTGGTGAGTATGTACAGAAATGTGACGTATGTGTGTGGCATGTATAGGTCATTGGGAGAATATGTAGTACATATGCATGATTTTGTGTATGTGTATGGCGAGTATATATAGGGCGTGGGGGGGTTGTATGGTATATGTATGTGTTAATGTGTGTCAAATATGTGGTGAGTAGCACCGTAGCACCGTCCTCCCGTTGTTCATCGATTTGCTCGAGCGGGCCCAGTAACGTCTCCATCATGAGACTTGTTGTTACTGTGTTTGGCATATTGAATACGTCATGGGGAGCTTGCCAGGCTCTGCTGTGCGGGCGAGATACTCTCGGTAGCTTGCTGGGCTCTTGTGGTGAGTATGTGCAGAAATGTGATGTATGTGTGTGGCATATGTAGGTCATTGGGGGATTATGTAGTACATGTGCATGAATGTGGTATATGTGTGGTAAGTATGTATAGGGCATGGCGGATTGTGTGGCACAAGTATGTGTGAATGGGGTGTATGCGGGTGGTGAGTGTGTATAGGGCATGAGGGATTGTGTGGCACAAGTGTGTGTGAATGGGGTGTATGTGGGTGGTGAGTGTGTATAGGGCATGAGGGATTGTGTGGCACAAGTGTGTGTGAATGGGGTGTATGCGGGTGGTGAGTGTGTATAGGGTACGGGGGATTGTGAGGCACAAGTGTGTGTGTGTGCGTGTGTGCGTGTGTGTGTGGTGAGTGGTATAAGGCATGAGGGATTGTGTGGCACATGTGTGCATGCATGTGGTCCGTGTGTGTAGTGTCTCTGTGGGGGTGCTACAAAGCAGCAAAGCTAATGAATGGCCATGGTGTATGGTGACTTCATCAGTAAAATTTATCCTAATGGAAGGCTTCTACCACGTGTCTCACTGGAGGGGCGCGCTGCTGCGACGGGGAGAGGGGGGGACGAGAGGGGCATATCAGCTCGTCGGCCAGGGTGGGGCTGGGGGTTCCCACGCTTCTGTTGGGGCAAGCTGCGGAGCTAGGGCTAGGGCGGTGCACAGGGAGGCGGGGTCCAGAAGCCAGGTCCGTAGACGCTGGAGGGGCACTGCTGCGCGGGGGAGGGAGGGGCGTAGCAGCTCTGTCGGGCAGGGCGGGACCGGTGGTTCCCACGCACCTGTTGGGGCAAGCTGCAGCGCTAGGGCGGCGCGCAGGGGAGCCGGGGGGCATGGGGGGGGGGCAGAAGCCAGGGCCCGCGACGCTGGAGGGGCGTTGCTTCCTGGGGGGGGGGGGAAGGGAGGAGCAGCTCCGTCGAGCAGGGCGGGACTGGGGGTTCCCACGCATCTGTTGGGGCAGGCTGGGGAGCTAGGGCGGTGCGCAGGGGAGGCGGGGGCCAGAAGCCAGGTCCGGAGATGCTGGAGGGGCGCTGCTGCCCCGGGGAGGGAGGGGCTTAGCAGCTCCGTCGGGCAGGGCGGGACCGGGGGTTTCCACGCATCGACTAGATAGGCACGGGGGGTGGGGGGGCGCCGCGTGGGGGGAGCGCGGTGGTCGGAGGCGGGGTCCCGAGATCTTGGAGAGCCGCTGCTGCGCCGGGGAGGCGGAGGGTGGATGGGGGGGGGGGGAGGCAGAGCAGCTCCGTAGGGCAGGGCGAGACTGGGGGTTCCCACGCATCTGTTGGGGCAAGCAGCGGAGCTAGGGCGGCGCGCGGGGCCGGGAGGCCAGGTCCTGAGACGTTGAAGGGGCGCTGCTGCGCCAGGGGGTGAGGGAGGGGCACAGTAGCTCCCATGGGTAGGGCGGGACTGGGGGTTCCCACACACCTGTTGGGGCAAGCTGCAGAGCTAGGGCTGCTCGCAGGAGAGGCCCTGGCCAGAAGCCAAGTCCGGAGATGCTGGAGGGGCGCTGCCGCGCCGGGGGGGGGGGGGGGGGGGGGGGGGGGGAGGGGCGTAATAGCTCCCTTGGGTAGGGTGGCATTGGGGGTTCCCACGCACCTGTTGGGGCAAGCTGCGGAGCTAGGGCGGCGCTTAGCAGGGGCGGGAGCTGGACGCCCGTTGGTAGAACATTTTATAGAGAGGTGGCATTTAAGTAAAGTTCTGTTAAGGTTTTTTGAACTCTACTACATTTCAATTATTTCTGATTTCTCAGAGATTCAGAGGTTGGATGAGCAGAAGAAAAAAAAGAAAGAAAGAAAATCACGTTATCGGAGAAGCCGATAGAGCTATCCTTTCAGACCAGAGATTTATTTTCACCTTCTGTTCAGCCCAGTTTGGAAAAAAGAAGAAGCAGTGTTCTCCAAGACCTTAGCCCTGCAGTGGTCCTTCATCAAACTCCGCCTCCCCCTGCAGATAAAGCTGCATTTCCTCCTCACTCTGTTGATTTGCACAGCCCAGCTGATCAGAGGTGCCAAGACATCTGTTCACCCAAGAAGAAAGGCTCTGGGTAAGTCACCCCTCAGCCACTTGGCTAGTATTTTGTCAAGTCCTGGTGAAGGACTCTCCAGGAAACCGTAGAAGGTATCTGGCAAGCATCAGCGGCTCATTGAACTATTTAGCACTATCTTTAAGAAAAGGAAAGGGTTGGGATTTAGAAAGAGTTTCAGACTATGATAACATCTAAGATAGGAAACAGGATTGTGAGTGAAAGATTGAAAGGGTGCAACATTGTTTTTTAAAGAAGAAATGTCATCTTTCAAAATACTTTTAGAGAAATGATTCTTGGTTAAAATATTGGCAGAAAATGATCTTCTGGCAGATATACAGTATCCCCCACCCAGCCCAGCAGGATGTCCTCTGAAGAAATACAGGACCAGAGCTTTGTCTAAGCCTGTGTCTACTGTTTGTTTGCTTGTCTGGGGAAGCCTGAAAAGTCTTCAAGTTACGATCAGTTTTCAAATATCAAAGCTTCTCTTTAATATCGGTTTGTTCCTCAGCACAACTGATAAGTTATTGAGAGGGGGGCTGAGAATTTAAAGGCAAAGTTTTCTGGTTGCGTCTGTCAACTGCTTAATTTGCGCTACAGGGGGCAAGAGACTCAGGAATGATTCTTTAGAGAAGATTCTCAGTGCAGCAGTGGAACTTAAATGGAGCAGCATTCCATGGGGTAAGGCACTGAGCCAACTCCTATATGATGTGTTTTCCACTTGGCCATGTCTGCTGACAGGATGGAACTTCTCCATCATGGCAATTCAGAAACTGCTAACAAACTGCAGAGAAAAATGCAAGGATGGCTGGCAGCAGGAGTTTACCATTGTCTGCTTGCTCTTAAGATCTTCTTGGAGGACTTGAGTATCGGCCCATTTTATTCTGTCTACTCCAAGGCTAACGTTAAGATGATTTTAAGTCCTCCTGCCAAGGGGTGAGAGGTGGTGGCCTGTGGTTAAGGCTGTGGGCTGCCTACACTCAAAATCAATTGCTTTCTAGTTGTGTGACCTTGAATAAGTTGCCAAAATTCTCTTTGGGGCCCTTCTCTGAAGAATGGGGGCAATCCCCTGCCCTACTTCACATGGCCACCTTGAGGGCTGGTGGAATGAGTGGAAAGATGTGTGGAACCAAGTGCTCTTGGAAGCTGTGCAGGGTAACTGGCCTGCTATGGGGACACCTGTTAGGGCGCGGTTCTTGATCTCCACATACGGCGCAAAGAAACTATTCAGAGAATGCAATAGGCAGATGAGGTTTCTTGATCCAGCCAGGCTAGGGTCAAGCTCCACCTAGGTCGCGCAAGACCAGGATTCTAGCCAGACCCTGAGCCTCTTTAAGGAAGATCTTATATAGGCCCTTACCAGCCGTTAGGGCAAAGCCAGCGCAGTATGTAGCCAGTGAATTTGTAACACACAAAGCCCACGCAGTACATCACTATTAAGCAAGCCTAAACATGTTGGGAACGTTAAGCCCTCGGTAATCTTTCTTAACCACCCATATCTTGCGTTATCAGTCACCATTTAGGTGCATTTAGGTGTCGGGCCCCAGGGAGAGTAACAAGTCATTTTAAAAGCATGGGGTTCTGGTAAAAAGGATCCGAGAAAAACAAGTTAAGATCTAAGAAAGAAAAACAAGTTCTTAATCTAGAAAAAACAGGTTAGTTCCCTTAAATTGGTCAGCGTTCATCTGGTTCAGAACCTCATTCCTCACAATACTCTGCCAGGGAATGCCCGTGGCGGCAAGGACGGGGGGTGGGGGGGTGGCAGTCAGAGGGGACCTGTCTCCATATCTTGACATTGCAATCAAGGTTTCATTCACATGGTTAAGGAACCATAGATTTTTATTTGAAGAGATGAGGCTTTTGTGAATTTCCTCAACAGCACAAAATTCGCTCTCTAGTAGAAATCAGCAGCAACTCCTTATCCTCCACTATAAAAGTTTGTCATTTGGCCAAATATAAAAGGAGTTCTGAGTTCAAAACAGAAATCAATGTATCAATTTTTAGAACCTATTAATGTTCAAGCTAGTTTGCGTTCCTCGTAGAGCCTTACAAGAACTTTTTGAAAGTTCATTTCTCCTTGGTTCCTAGGTTCCTAGGCAAGATGGATTATCAAACTTCTCCAGACTATGATAAGGATTATGGGATGTCTCAGTCTTGCGAAAAAATGCATGTGAAGCAAATCTCAGACAGTCTCCTGTCTCCCCTCTACTCACTGGTGTTCGTCTTTGGTTTCCTGGGCAACCTGCTGGTCGTCCTCACCCTGATTAAATGCAAGAAGCTGAAGAGCATGAGTAACATTTACCTGCTCAACCTGGCCATCTCCGACCTGCTCTCCCTCCTCACCCTTCCCTTCTGGGCGCTCTATGCAGCAAACAAGTGGACCTTAGGAGATGCTATGTGTAAACTCGTCACGGGGATGTATTACATTGGCTATTTTGGGGGTGTCTTCTTCATCATCCTCCTAACTATCAACAGGTACCAGGCCATCGTCCATGCGGTGTTTGCTTCAAAGACCAGGTCGGTCACCTTCAGGGTGGTGACGAGTATGGTCACCTGGGTGCTGTCGGTACTGGCTTCACTCCTGGAAATCATCTTTACCAAATCCCAAAACGAGGGGTTCTATTACTTCTGCAGCCCTTACTTCCCAACCACTTCATTACATTTCTGGAAGAGTTTCCAGGTACGAAAGATGTTTATCTTGGGCCTGGTGCTGCCACTACTGGTGATGACCATCTGCTACTCAGGAATCCTCAAAACCCTGTGTCAGAGCCAGAATGAGAAGAAGAGGCACAAGGCCGTGAGGCTCATATTTGCCATCAATATCATGTACTTCGTTTTCTGGGGCCCCTACAACATCGTCCTGCTTCTGAGTGCCTACCAGGAATTCTTTGGTCTGAATAACTGCCAGAGCTCCAATCAGCTGGATCAGGCCATGCAGGTGACAGAGATCCTGGGGATGACACATTGCTGCATCAACCCCATCATCTACGCCTTCATGGAAGAGAAGTTCAGAAGCTACCTTTCAGGGCTCTTCCAGAAACACATTGCCAAACGCTTCTGTCAACATTATTCTACCTTCCATCGAAAGGCCTCAGAGAGAGGAAGCTCAGTTTTTACCTGGGCCACAGGGGACCAGGATCTCTCTGTGGGCTTGTGACATAGGTCCAGCTCTGAGACACAGTCTGAGGGTGGGAGAAAGTCTCTGACAATAAAGTTTCTTTCATAGATGATCTAAAATTCATTCTTTATTTGAGGGGTGGGGTTCTGCTTATGTCCGTCAATTCTAGAAAACCAAATCAACACATGTTGGTGAAACAACAATCTTCTCATCTCCCCTCCAAGGCATTTTATTGGTCAGCTCTCCCTTCAAGCAAAAGTCTATTATTTTAAAAAATAATACTCAGGGGCAGGAACAATAATACAGGGGTTAAGGCATTTGCCTTGCTTGTGCTCAACTCGGTTCAATCCCCAGCACTGCACATAATTCCCTGAGCACTACCAGGAGTGATTTCTGAGCACAGAGTCAGGAGTAAACCCTGTGCACACTCAGTGTGGTTCGAACACCACTCTGTGAAAAGAATCAGCAAAGAGTGGCTAATTCTTGAGTTTGATTAGCCAAATGGAACTAACTAAATTAATGAAGAAAACATGTTCCTTGGTTACTTACCTGTCAAAGCAGCATCTAGGGGAGATGCATGTTTGAAACAGGATCATATCCACGGGCAGCAGAGAAAGCACAGACTTCATATGGGGGAGGTCTTCAGTTCAACTCCTGGATCACATGGTTCCAGGAACACTCCCAGGTGTCCCTGGGGGTCCCTGAGCAGCACACAGCTGGGGCCAAGCAGCTAACTGTCAAGCCCACATGGCAAAGAGTGGCTCCAGCACTCACCAACCCCCGGATTCACTAAGTGTGGTTCCTATAATAAAATTTAAAAAACAGGTTCTTGACTTCCACTGGGGAAAAAAGACAACCATGTGACTAAAGAGGGACATCCAAGATACTTCCATCCAAGATACTATCCAGGGAAGAGTTCCAAGGAGGTGGTGGTCAGGTAATCATAGCCTAATAGAAGCTGGCAAAGTGTCCTCATGAGGAGCAAGTGGGGCAGAGCATCTGCTGAGAGAGACAGCGTCTGGTTTCAAGACTTCATGGCAGAGTTTGGCTGTGGGAAGGCATATCGCTGATGGGGAGAAAGGGCAGGCTGGATCATGAAGAACCAAGACAGTGTTGCTCCTCAGAGTCAGCAAACCCCTGGTTGGGGTCACAGCTGACTCATGTCACAGCCAGAGGATTATTTGTAAAGGTGAGCCACAAACAGCCCACAAGTCAGGGATGGGAGAACCACAGAGGTGAGGACAATAGGATGGGGGTTGGGAGGGTTTTCACCCCATTTAGCTGGGAGTCAGCAGCACTGAAGGAGGATGGGGAGTAGAAGGAAGGAGCAGGAAGGAGCCAGGGATTACAAGGCTCTGAGTCCACTGACAGGAGGTGCCCTACAGAGATGTCAAGTCCAGAAGGAAGAGGAGGTTTAGGTCAAACCCAGGAGGACCATGACATGGACTGGGAATATGGCTCAGCCATAGATGGTTTGCCTTGCCTGTGTACCTGCATGCATCGTGAAGTCTTGCCTTGTCCTGGGTTCCATCCCCCACATCACCAAAAATAACAAAAGCAGTAGTGAAGGAAGGGCTTAGTTTAGGGAGTGCGGGTGCAGCCCCAGAGCAGTCAAACTCTGAGGGATTTCTCCCTCAGACCTTGCCTGCACTTTTAGCCAGCCATCCTTCCCATCCCAGCCTGAATAAGGAGGCTCTTCAGCCTAGACAACTCCAAACTTATACATTCATGAGCTTGAAGCCTAGGAACATTTTTGAGTCAGAGATGAGGAGGTTGAGGTGATTACATAGTTAAAGAAAACCCAGGGCTTTACGAGTATTCCCCACAGAGGGGGAACCCAAATGGACCTGTTTCTGTTTGCCCAGGGACACCCCTATTCTAATCATTTGCCAATTTACCAACAATAGACAAAAGGGGAGAAGAGACACATTCATTTGCAAACAAACTGCCTAGAACATGATCAACCACAAAAAGTACAATCCAGCAGCATAGGGGGTTGAGATTTGGGTGGGTGCTTTAGGGGCTCCTTACAAATAGAATCTTTCCCAACAAATGGAATCTAACACTCGGGGATTCATTCATCGGAGTGACTTAAAGGGTTCGTGCATGTGTGAAATTACTTTTATTCTTCTGTACATGTTTTCAATTAGGGAACAATAAATACCCTGGAAGTCAGGATGAGGTTGGAAACACAAACGTGTGAGAAGCACAGGCAATTAAGATGTCAGATAAGAGTAAGTGCTACAGTTTTCAAACCTGAGGCTTATGGCCTCCTAAGGGAAAAGACAGTCTTTCCTTCTCTCAAGATTGTTACACATAAGCAGCAGGTGACACTGACCCCTCGGTTAATTCAAAGACATTCTGACCATTATATATGCATCAATTTGTGTGTATACATGTGTGTGCCTATAAAGACTATAAAATCCAGATTCCGGACGAGAATAGTGCAGTCTTCTGCCCCCGCGTTGGGTGTTCCTCCCCGGAGCCTTGGAGGGGAGCGGGTTGAGCTTTCCTCCCCGCCCCGACCAGGGCTCCGGCAGCCGAAGACCTCCAGGACCAGCCACCACCATGCTGAGACCACTCTCCGCACACATGAAGGTACTGGCAGAGGGACAAAGCCACGCGGGTTCCGGGGCCGAGACCTCCAAGCCTACTCGAATTGGAGTCGAGCATCTTCCACCCAGATCCTCCAAATTCCAGTAGGCGGGGGTCACACCCACCACCTGGCCCCCTGGCGCCGTGTAATCCCATCAGCGGCCAAGACTCAGAGACTATAAAATCCAGATTCCGGAACCGCGCGGCCGCATTCGCGGCCGCGCGACATCTTATCAGAACTTTTTTTCGTGACATCTTATTGTCTCATTACTACTTTGGAAAAAAACTTGCAGGCTATCGAATGTAGCCTGCCCACAGGGCAGAGTCTGGCAAACTCCCCGTGGCGTACCAAATATGCCAGATACCAGTAACAATGAAGGGTCTCTTTCTCCTAAATAGCCTTGAATATAATCTCAGGGCTAGGATGAAAGAGACGTTACTGGGGCCTGCTCGAGGCAATCGACGAATAACAGGATGATGAAATGAAATGAAAAATGTGTGTGCCTATTATATATGTATATATCATATATAATATGATCTGTATACAATTCTCATGGATATATATCCATGAGAACGTATGTAGGTATACATATATAAACATATACATATGTATGTATATGTGCATATTGTACATGTAACACTGTAGCACTGTAGCACTGTCCTCCCATTGTTCATCAATTTGCTCAAGCAGGCCCAGTTACGTCTCCATTGTGAGACTTGTTGTTACTGTGTTTAGCATATCGAATACATCACGGGTAGCTTGCCAGGCTTTGCCATGTGGGCGAGATACTCTCGGTCGCTTGCCGGGCTCTCCGAGAGGGACAGAGGAATCAAACCTGGCTCAGGTTTGCCTTAGGCAAACGCCTTACTTTTTTTTTTTCATTTTTTATAATTTTATTTATTGAATCACCATGAGAGCAGTTACAAAGCTTTTGGGTCTAAGTCTCGGTCATACAATGAAACACTCGTGCCTTCACCAGTGCCCATTCTCCACCCCCAAAAACCCTAGTATACCCCCATCCCACACCCTCCCCCCACCTGTGGGGCAGATGATTTCCACATTACTCTCTCTCTACTTTGATCACATTCAATATTTCGACATCAGACCCACCATTATTATTTGAGATTTTACCCCAACACTCAGATATGCTGAAAAGGCAACAATAGACAATTTGTGTTCTATTGCTGGTTATGAATAACATATGATGTCGCGTGGCTGCAGTAGGGCCATGTGGTTTTGAAATTCCGAAATTTTAACACTTAAATCTGGAGGAATTACTGCCAAAAGCCACTGGGTTTCGAGATTTGCTCCTGAGTCTCTGGGATCATGGCTGTTCAGCTGCTTGATCAGGAGCCAGAGAGGCCGTTGATGGGCGATGACTTGGGGTCTCGTTGGAGAGGGGAGGACAGGCCCAGCTCCCCCCGGCATCCCATAAGGCCCAACAAGTTTCGTCACTGCGGGCCCAGGCCTGACTGTCCAATGGCCTCTGAAGGATGACGGCCACCGAGCTGCCAAGAGGGAGCAGGTGGAGTGACAACACCCTTTCCTCCCTGGGGTGGCCCGGCGACAGTAACGTACTGTGGGGTTCGGACACATTTCTGCCAAAAGCCACTGGGTTTTGAGATTTGTTTCTGAGTCTCTGGGATCATGGCCATTAAGCAGCTGGAACAGGAGCCAGAGAGGCCATTCGTGGGCGATGACTTGGGGTCTCATTGGGGTGGGGAGGACAAGCCCGGATCCACCCCCATCCTGCGAGGCCCTGTGTGTCTCGTCACTGGGGGCCCAAACCTGACTATCCAGTGGCCTCTGAAGGATTGCGGCCACTGGGCCGCCAGGGAGAACAGGCCAAGGCACGAAACCTATTCCCACCTGGGTTGGCCCAGCACCGGTAACCTACTGCAGGGACCGGACACATTTCTACCTAAAGCTGCTGGTTTCCAAGATTCGTTTCTGAGTCTCTGGGATCATGGTAATTAAGCAGTTCAATCAGGAACCAGAGAGGCCTTGCCTCCAATTATATAGCTGAGCCGGAGGTGGTTTGTGTGTGTGTTTCCCACATACCTAACTTTTGGCTGTTTACTTTCTTGGTAAACTTTGCCCCAAATTTTTGAGGTCTGGTCAAAGGCACAGCAGCAATTTTGGAGTATCTGGAAGTCTGAAGGCGCCATCAGGCTGCTGATGCACTCGCCTCACAGGTACAGATTGACCTGCTGGAGGCATCATACCCCCCAGACGCCTTACATTTTTATATATATACACACACCAAACTTCTCCAGCCCCTAGTGCAGGGATCCAACTAGTCTAGGGTCACATTGCCAGAAGAAAACTAATTAAAGATGCTACCTGAAGAGGGAGTGTCCAAGCAATGAACGCTAAAAACTCATTTCAAATTTTATTCTACTGCTCAAACAAAAGAACTAATCTTTTAAAAGTGTTGGGGGGA